TCAAAGCAGTAAAATGCAAAGACATACAACCGAGATTATTCTGCCCAATAAGGTTATCATTTAGAATCAAAGGAAAGACAAAGTGTTTCCCAGGGGAAAAAAAAAAAAAAGCTAGAGGCGTTTATCACCATTAAACCAGTATTATAAGAAATGTTAAAAGAACTTCTTTAGGAAGAAAACAAAAGATCAAAAATAAAACATTGGAAAGAAAAAAATTCTCCCTGACAAAGACAAACAGTAAAAGCAGTGGATCAACCAACTATAAAGATAATACAAATGTTAGAAGGCAAAAGTAGGCAGATCACATGTAATTACAACAATAAATTAGAGATTATACACAAACACACACGAAAAACGATTTAAAAATGATGACCAAAATATAAACATGGAAGTGGTGAGTAAATATGTAGTGATTTTAGAATGTGTTCGAACTTACTGACCATCAACTTAAAATAGACTGGTAAAAATATAACTCGATATATATGAAGCACATGGTAACAACAAACCAAAAATCTAAAGCACATAAAAGAAATAAAGAGAAAGGAATCCAAACACAACACTATCAAAAGTCATCAACATACAAGAGAGAGAAAGTATAAGAGAATAAGAAGGAGTAGAGAAGAACTATAAAAACATTTGGAAAACAATGAATAAAATGGCAAAACTACATACTTATCAATAATTACTTTAAATGCAAATGGCTAAATGCTCCAAACAAAAGATACAGGGTGGCTCAATAGATTAAAAAAAAAAAAAAAAAGACAAAGCCCATACATATGTTGCTTACAGGATACCAAGCTGAGATCGAAAGATACACACAGGTGGAAAGTAAAAATATAGAAAAAGATATTTCATGCAAATAAAAATGAAAAGATAACTAGGTCGCAATATTTATATCAGACAAAATAGGCTTTAAAACAAAAAAACAAAGAAGGGCATTTCATAATGATAAAGGTATCAATTAAAAAGAAAAGACATAACTCTTGTAAACATATATACACCCAGTGTAAAAGCACCTAAATATACAATGCAAATAGTGACAGACATAAATGGAGAGATTGACAGTAATACAGTAATGGTAGAAACTTTAACATCCCATCAACATCAATGAATAGATCAGACAGATAGAAAATCAACAAGGAAACAGTGGCCTAAATGACACAGTAGATCAGATGGATTTAATTGATATTTTTAGAACATTTTACCCCAAAACAGCAGGAAATGTATTTTTTTCAAGTGCACGTGGAATATTTTCCGGGAAAGACTACATATTAGTCCACAAAACAAGTCAATAAATTTAAGAAAACTGAAATCATTTCAAGCATCTTCTCTAATCACAATGGTATGAAACAAGAAATCAATTATAAGAAGAAAACTGAAAAACGTGCAAACATATGGAAGCTAAATAATATGCTACTACACAATGAATAAGTTAACAAGATCAAAGAAGAAACCAGAAGATACCTTGATACAAAGGAAAGTAAAAACACGATGTCTCAAAATTTATGGGACATAGACAAAGAAGTTCTAAGAGGGGAAGTCATAACAATACAGGCCTACCTAAAGAAACAAGAAAATCTTCAAATAAACAATATAACCTTACACCTGAGGGAACTAGAAAAAGAAGAAACAGAGCCCAAAAAGGAAGGACTAATAAAGATAAGAGAGGAAATAAATGAAATAGAGACTAAAAAAAAAAAAATTAGAAAAGATCAATTTAACCAAATACTGGTTCTTTGAAAAGATAAACAAAATTGATAAACCATTAGCCAGACTCCTCAAGAAAAAAAAAAGAGGGTTCAAATAAATAAAATTAAAAAAAGAAAAAGAGAGAAGTGAAAACTGGCACCAAAGAAATACAAAGGATTATAAGAAAACACTATGAACAATTATATGCCAATAAATTAGACAACCTAGAAGAAATAAATAATTTCCTAGAAACATACAGTCTTCCAAGGCTGAATCAGGAAGAAACAGAACATCTGAACAGACCAATAACCACTAATGAAATAGAATTGGTAATCAAAAAACTCCCAACAGACAGAAGCCCTGGCCCAGATGGCTTCACAGGTGAATTTTATGAAATATTCAAAGAAGAATTAATACCTATCCCTCTCAAACTATTCCAAAGAAATTGAAGTGGAGGGAAGGCTCCCAAGCTTATTTTATGAGGCCAGCATTACCCTGATACCAAAAACCATACAGAGCTACTATAAAAAAAATTATAGGCCAATATTCCTGATGAACATAGATGCAAAAATCCTCAACAAAATATTAACAAACCAAATTTGGTAATACATTTAAAAAGTCATGATCAAGTTGGATTTATTCCTGGAATGCAAGTTTAGTTCAATAGCCATAAGTCAATTAACATGATACATAAAACAAAATGAAGGGAAAAAAACTATATGATCATCTCAATAGATGCAGAAAAAGCATTTGACAAAATTCAACATCTGTTTATGATAAACACTGTCAGTAAAGTGGGGAAAGAGGGATATACCTCAACATAATAAAAACCATAAATGACAAAACCACAGCCAACATCATGCTCAAAGGTGACAAGCTGAAAACGTTTTCTTTAAGATCAGGAAGAAGACAAGAATGTCTACTTTCACAACTCTATTCAACATAGTATCGGAAGTCCTAGCCACAGCAATCAGACAAGAAAAATAAGCAAAAGGTACCCAAATTGGAAAGGAAGAAGTAAAACTGTCATTATTCGCAGATCCCATGATACTATATAAAGAGAACTGTAATTACTTCATCAGAAAACTGTTAGAACTAATAAATGAATTCATTAAAGTAGCAGGATATAAAAGTAATATTCAGAAATTGATTGCATTTTTATACACTAATAACAAACTATTGGAAAGAAATTTTTAAGAAACAATCCCATTTACAACTGCATCAAAACGAATAAAATACCTAGGAATAAATTTAACCAAGTTGGTAAAACACCTGTATTTGGAAAACTATAAGACAGAAGAAAGAATTTGAAGAAGTACAAATAAATGGAAAGATATTTCATGCTAATGGAGAGAAAAAATTAATATAACCAAAATTTCCATACTACTTAAAGCAAACTACAGATTCAACACAATCTCTATCAAAAGATCAATGGCATTTTTCACAGAAGTAGAATAAATAATCCTAAAATTTATACGGAACCACAAAAGACCCTAAATAGCCAAAGCAATCTTGAGAAAGAAGAACAAAGTTGGAGATATCACACTACCTGATAGCAAACTATACTACAAGCCTACAGTAATCAAAACAACATAGCATTGACATGTAAAAACGGGCATAGATCAATGGAACAGAATAGAGAGCCCAGAAATAAACCCATACCTATATGGTCAATTAATCTATGACAAAGGAGACAAAAATATACACTGTGGTTAAGACAGTCTCTTCGATAAGTAGTGTTGGAAAAACTGGACAGATACATGCAAAAAAATGAAACTGGACCACCTTCTTATACCACATACATGAATAAACTCAAAATGATTTAGACTTAAATGTAAGACCCAAAATCATAAAACTCCTAGATGAAACCATATGCAATATACTCTTTGATATTACCCTTAGTAATATACTTTTTTTGATTTGACTCTTCAAGCAAGGGAAACAAAAGCAATACTAAACAAGTGGGACTACATAAAACTAAAAAATTTTTGCAAAACAAAGGAAAGCATCAACAAAATGAAAAGGCAACCTACTGAATGGGAGAAGATATTAGCCAATGATACATCTGTCAAGGGTTAATATCCAAAATATATATGAAATGTATACAGTTTAACACCAAAAATAATAATAATAATATAATTTAAAAATGGCCAGAGGACCTGAATAGATATTTCTCCAAAGAGGACATACATATGGCTAATAGACATCACTAATCATCAGGGACTACAAATCAACATCGTTAATCATCAGGGACTACAACACTAATCATCAGGGACTACAGATTGAAACCACAATGAAATATCACCTCACACCTGTCAGAATGAGTATCATCAATAAATCAACAAACAAGTGTTGGTGATGATGTGGAGAAAAGGGAATCTTGTGCACTGTTGGAATTGTAAATTGGTGTAGTCCCTATGAAAAACAGCACGGAGTTTCCTCAGAAAATTAAAAAATAGAACTTCATACAACCCAGCAATTCTATTTCTAGGTATTTATCCAAAGACATCCAAAATATTATTTTGGAAAGATATACATACTGTGTTCGTTGCAGCATTGTTTACAATAGCCAAGATATGGAGGCTTCCTAGGTGTTCATCGATAGACGAATGGATAAAGAAAATGTGGTACATATATACAATGGAATATTACTTCGCCATAAAAATGAATGAAATCTTGCCATTTGCAACAACATGAATGGACCTAGAAGATATTATGCTAAGTGAAATAAGTCAGACAGAAAAAGACAAATGCTGCATGGTTTCACCAACATGTGGAATCTAAAAATCAAAAATAAATGAACAAACAAAACAGAAACAAACTTATAGATACAGAGAACATATTGATAATTGCCAGATGGGAGAGGGGTTGGAGGTGAAAAAGGTGAAAAGATTAAAAAGTACAAATTGCTAAGTATAAAAACTGTCACAAGGATGTAAAGCACAACATGGGGAATATTGTCGATAATATTGTAATATGTATGGTGTCAGATGGATACTTGACTTATTGGAATGATCATTTCATAAGCTACATGAATGTCTAACTGCTAAGTTGTACACCTGAAACTAACTGAATACATATGTCAACTGTAATTGAAAATTTTTTTTAATTTAGAAAAAGGCTTTTCTTTGCCTGCTTTCTTCTTGCCCACAGACTTCTAGATATTTTGCCTAAATCTTTTTTTATACTATGATGAACCCCCTGATATCTGGCTATTTACTTGGACACTGGACTTTCCTCTTTGCAGATCCTTCTTATTTAGTTCTGGTGTCTGACCTTCCACCCAGTCAGAAACCATGCAGGTGGCTTACCTGAACCTGCCTCCAAGCCTCTGTGCTCTGATCCCTGGTACCGTCCCAAGTTGTCTGACCTGGTTTCTGTTTGCTGTCTCTTGAGCTCTGGTTGGAAGTTCACTTGGCTCCTGAACTTGTTCTCACAGAAGTATGTGCATTGCTTGGGGTGATGTCCACAGATGGAGGCGCAGCTGATGCAGTCCCTCAGGAGCTGGTCATAGTACCTGCCTTGTTCCTTGCAGTAATTGAGTGACTCTGAAAACAAAAATGAGTGATGCTACTAGGTGATAGAGACCTATAGGAGCTGTAGGTTTGGCCTCAAAAGGTATCAAAGTTTTTAAAAAATTACAATCTAATTCCCCAAAAACAATTCTGAGATAATCCAATATGTAAATGTAAGGTTATACTTTGTCCTCCAAGTACTGTTTTAGCTGCATCACATACATTTTGACATGTAGTACTTTTTTCCTATATCTAATCTAAAATGTTTTACTTTTTATCGTTATTTCTTCTTTGACTTATAGATTATTTAAAAGTGCATTCTTCGGTTTCTTACACTTGTAAGGATTTTCTAGTTATCTTTTAAAGTTGATATCTAGGTGATTATATTGTTGCTAAAGTTCTTTATTTGCATTTTCAAGGCTCATAAAGAAGAAAGATATTTTATGTCAACATAAGGATTAGAGGGGGAAGCCAGAATCCACCTTGGCAAGTTGAGGGAGGAAGCTATAATGAAGGTGAGAAAGCTCAAAATATTAGTGTTTCTTCTGTCTTAATAATAAATAAGATTTACAAGAGTTTAAACAGGTATAACAGCCAAGAAGTAGAAGTCAAGCAAAATAAAGCCTAATCACACTTGCCTTAAGATAGCAAATTTGAGTGCATAACAAAAATCTACATTTTCACAGGGCAACTTTCCCTTGTCTTTAAAATAAGATTCTATGTATATGAAAATGTGACTCACACATGGGATTCTAAGAGCACATTGCAGAGGCAGTGTAAGACAGAGGTTAACACAGGCTTTAAAGCCAAATGGGTTGAAGCATCCCTAGCTCTACAACTTTCAGGTTATGGAGTCTTAACTTTTCCGTACCTCAGTTTCTTCATTTCCAAGACAGGGATAATATTTATTTTTTAGGGTTGCTATGAGGATTTGAAGTTCCCAGCACAGTGCCTGACACATAATAAATAAATGCTCAGTTAATGGAAGGTTCAAGTAGGATATTCATTTGTGCCTCTTTGCGGCACAAGCACACCAACTATTATGTCCTTGACAGAGTAAGGTAAGAGACCAGAAAGATGGTGGAATGAGGACCTCAGTTAAGACTCAGATAGCCCTTATGGGACCAGTGACCTCCCCCTGCCCTGGCCCTGCCCCAGCTCTGGAGTTCTGCTGAGCCCCAGGAGCACGGGACCACTGAACCATCACTCATGAAGCAGAGTTAACCTGATGGCAGTGGTGTTCCTGGGATTTTCTGTGAGCTCCTCTCCTCTTAAGGAATCACAGTGTGGCTGTTGCAGCTGATTCCTGAGCACCCCAGACCACAAACCATCACTGCTTGACCTCACAAACCTTTCCTCTGGCCTTGATCTTCCCTATTGTTTTTCCC